TTTGTTCAATTAGAGACACGTCCACAAGCATTTAATATTGGAATGTCTATAATTCAAGGTAATTATTCACATCCAAATCAACCCCAGATAACTCAAACTATTCTTTACTTTGCATTAAAACTTATTGAGTCGTCAACAAAAAACATTCAAAATTTTAATGGAACAACAAGAAAACAATTATCAATATCTCTTCTTGATTGGTGTTTGACTCAACCAGCTGGTATGGCAATGAAGAAAGCCATTCACACATCAATTAGTTTAATGATTAGCAATGACCAATTCCTTCCAAGTGAGTGGGCAATAACTATTGTTAATTTAAAAAATAAAGTAACAACAGAACTTCAAAGCCTAGTTGTTATATTAACATTAAAAGAAATAAACGATGAGTTAATTGAGAAATCAAAAGCTTTTTCTCAATTAACTGATCTTAGTAATAAAGTCAAAGATGCGTTTAGAGAGAATGGAGTAAAGGATATTGTAGAATTCCTTTATCGTTGTATGACTAATGAACATTTAGTAAAAGATTCATTAGAATTGTTTGGGACATTAGTTAGTTGGATTGATATTTCATTTTCAACTAATTCAGAATTTGTACAAAGGTTATACAGTTATCTTAATTCTCCTAGCTTATTTAATCCAACAATATTTATATTTTCTGAAATTATTTCTAAAGGAATGGATCCTATGGTAAAATTGTCTTTAATTCACTCATTACAACTTATTAAATTCATTCCAATTCCAAATAATTCTAATGAAGATTCATTTATTTCTGTTTGTAAACTCTCTGGAGTTATTATTAATGAAATATTAGCTGCTACAGAAAGAAAATTTCCAGTAAAAGCTTTAGTAACTGGTAGAGTCCAAATACAACCAGAAGTATTTAATACAATTCAAGAAATGCTTTCAAGTAATTTTATTTTCTTTGTTAATCTCTTTCAACGGTCAACATTAGATATGGCTAAAGAATTCTCAAGTGGAATCACTAAGGCAATTAATGACTTCTTTGCTCCTTTATTAAATAAATTTATTATACCAAATTCATTAGTTGAAGTAGAAAGTATGTTATTACAAGCATTATACTCTAAATATCAAATGTTCATTAAAAATGAATTTGATGATGATGGTAATAATGGTTCTGATTTACTTAATTGTTTAAAAACTATTTATCGTGCATCGTCTGATTTAGATCAAAGTTGTTTAGTATTACAACAATTCTTACAACAACTAATGACATTTAACTTAAAGAATCCAAATGTAGAAAGTGTTTCATGTCATGCATATTTTATATTACATTTTCCTGACAAATTAATGGCAAGACCAGAGACTGTTCAATTCATGACCCAACACGTAACAACATTCGCACAACAATTTATTCGTTTTGTTGATGTTGCTCCAGAACACTCTCCAATTTATCCAGCAATCTCAAGATTTTTAAAGTATATCTCAGGAGATTGTTTATGTGGAATTATCGAATACTCTATTGGTGTGATTGAAAAAGGAAAATGTTTTTCAGAAATTAAAGACCTTGTTAGAGAAGCTCGTAGTAATGGAATGAACCCACGACAAGAATGGAGTATTAAAGTTGGACAAATAGTTAAAAATGTTGCTGAAACGATATGGATAAAAAGAAATGTAATAGATACCGTTGATTTGTATAGTATATTATCTGATTTAACTGATAGTGGATTAAGTATTGTTATTAAAGAAGTGTTTGGTCCAGAAATTGAACATTGTAATTCACTTGGAAATAATGGAGATATTCAATTTACTACACAATACATTGGTAGTAGATTAAAGAATGTTTCTGCATTTCTTAAGAAAAATGGATTTACTAGTAGAAGAGAATCATTTACATTATACAATGAATATTGTCCAATTGTAGAACGAATCATTCGAGGAGAAATTCATTGTGATAAGACACAAATTAAAAAATATGTTGTTGATTTTGTTCAAATGTGGATTGAAGCAATTAATCCAGAGTTTCATATTATACCGTCAATACAAGCAATGTCTAATTATTTAAATGAAAGTGTTAATGATATATTATTATTAGGAACATTAATTGTTCATTTACTTAGTAAACAAAATAAATTGAATGTAGTAATTCTTGGAAATGAATTTAAATTTGTTCTTCAGGGATTTTTGAATAGTCTTAATGGAACAGATCAATTAAATGAAACAAGTGAATTATTTAGAGAAAAAATGGATATTGCTAAAACTATCTTTTCAATAATGACTTTTCCACCACAAATGTATCATATATTTAATGAATTTGATTATACTATTTTCATCAAGAATATTATGTTTATTATTGAAAAACTAAGATCAGATGAATTAGCTAGAATGATAGAAAAATATTGTATGAAATCTATTGAAATATATTTAATGACAAATGGAGAAATTGGAAAAAACATTGGAATTAATATTTGGTTACAATTATTTACTCAAATTATAAATAGAGTAAGACTTACAAAGAATTATGGAATGAGCTTTTGCATTGTAGAAGGATTTAAGTCTTTAGTTGGATTAATACAAAAATATCCAGTTTTAATAGAAATGATTAAATCATTCATTTCAACTTTACCTTCTGATAAACAACAATGGGTATCAATATTTTATTCAACACTAATTCAATGCCAAAATGTGACTGTCCCACAAGTGATGAATTTATTAAAAGGATTTATTTGAAATACTCAGTTTAACTAAATGAATGTTTTAAAAAAAAGTATTTTAGTTAGTTCATATCATTAACTTTTGTCCTCATTTTATCAATTTCAACAGCATAATGTTTCTTTAAATTTGCTCTTCTTAACTTCATTGAAGGAGTTAATAAATCATTGTCTTCACTAAATGGTGTATGTTCAATATAAAGAGCTCGTGGAATAGCAAATGATGGAATTCCTTTTTCATGAAGATTCATTGTAATCCATTCTAATAATTCTTGTTCTTTCATATCACTTGCTTCTTTTGTTGGAACTACAACAGCAACAACAAAATTATCAGTAGATACTCCATGCACAAACGCTTGTGCAATTTTATTTGAAATCATTGCTTGTTCTACATTTTCTACAGCAACAAACTCTCCTTGTGCTAATTTAATTAAATTGGACCTTCTGTCGATAATACTAATTGTTCCATCAACGTTCAATTTAACTATGTCACCAGTAATAAAAAATCCATCTTCGGTAAATGAATTTGAAGTAACCTCAGGTTGTTTATAATATTCTTTAAATAAATTGTCTGATTTTATTTCTAATTCTCCTTGTGGTGGATCATTAGAAGTAAGATATCCCATATCTGGAACACTTCTAATTCTAAATGTTGTATGTAAGAAAGGAACTCCAATAGAAAGAATCTTTGGATCATTCAACCCAGGACATCCACAACATACTCCACCAAATGTTTCAGTTGATCCATATCCTTGAAGAACATGACAATTTGGTAAATTTTCTTTAAAATAATTATATATTTCCATTGTGATTGGTGCTGATCCATTGATAATTGATTTTAATTTCTTTCCAAGAAGATATGATGGTGGTGTGATTAATCTCGAAACAAAATTAGATGATGCGATGTATGCATCCATAGCCATTTTAATTCGTTGTAATACTCTTGGAACAGCAATAAGATGATCTGGTTGACAATCTTGAATTTCATTAAGTAAACACCCAAGTCCTCCACACATAAAAGCAACTCTACCATATCCATAAACAAAAATATATGTAACTTCATGTTCAAATACATGAGCTAAAGGTAAATAACTATATGATGTTCTATTTAATGCAACAGTATCTTTATCAAATATATTCATTGAAGTAAAACAGTAAACAGCAGAGTGGAAAGATTTATGAGTATGAACAACTCCTTTAGGATTACCTGAAGTTCCACTAGTAAAGAAAATAGAATAAATATCATCAACAGAAGGAAGATCTACTGGAGTTGGATTTAATTTACCAATTGATATAATATCAACAAGAGAGTGAATATCTAAATTCATAGGATTAGAATATGGAACTATTGAATCAATATTAATGTATTTAAGTTGATGACTTTTAGATTTTAATTCAGTAGACTTGGAAATAGTTTCAGATGAAACAACAATTAATTCAATATCAGTTAAATCAATAATATAATTGATTGATTGAACTCCTAAAGTAGCATATAATGGAATAGGAATTAATCCAATTCTATGTAATGCTTGAGAAATAATAATCCACTCAGCTCTATTAGGAAAAAATATACCAACCATTGATCTTTTAGGAAGATTATATACTTTTTTAATCCCACTTGAGATGTTTTCTGCAAGTTCAAGAGCTTGTTGACCATTATACCAAGAGAAGGATTGAGAATTATTATATTTTCCATCAGACTGTTTTGTTTTATATCCCAAAATATCTGCTGTTGGTAACTCATGGCAACGGCGTTCAAATAACTCCCAAGATGTTTTCGAAGTAAAAGTTTCAAAAGAATCTTTTCCTTCACGGTTATGGTAAAGATTACTTTTTGCTTCAATATAAATTAATTCCCCTTCTTTGTGGACATGATGCATTGATGTTTGTGTGTGTTGAACAGACATAGTTGTATGTTATAAGGTGATAATTATTTTCAAGTTCATTTTAACCTTTCCCTAAAAAAAATTAATCACCGTAAATCACTGAAACGAAATCATACCAAATTAATTCCAAAACAATAACATAATTTTTTCTGTTTTTTTAAATTTCTATTTTTGAAATTATTCAAGAAAAGATACACTAAAACTCAAAAAAAATCAAAAAATATGAAGTATGATAAGAATGGAAATTTTGTTTTTTTTTTCGATAAAACTTAATAATCAATTAGAAGATCAAAAAAAGAAAAAAAAGAAAGTTATTTTTATGAGGTAATATTATTATTTGAAATGAAGAGAAACGAAAAAAGAGAGGAATAATAAAGAAGGAAATAGATAAATATATTAATAAGATGAACTGAATAGTCAGATGATGTCATTGGATGAGTCTTGCTTACAAACCATCATCTGTCAGATGGAGACAATTTCAGAAGTTATTAAATTAATACAAGTATCTAAACGATGGAAAAAACAATGTTTTCTAGTTAAAGATGTAACTCCTTTCTGTGAGGCTAAACAATCTGATGAACTATCTGAGGAAGAGTGGGAAGGAGAGGTTATTTGTAGAAAAGATATTTCATTAAAAAGAGTTGTTCAGTTATTTAAGAGGTGCAAGAGAGTTGCTGTTAATGCTGAAGATATAGAACAATTTGATTGGGAAGGAAATTGTTTAAATCGGTACGATAAACAACTTGAATCAGTTTCTGAAATTATTCTTCATGGCATTCTTACTTCTGATGAATTAATTGAAGAAATAGGTGAAAAAATAGTTGAAATTAATGTAACCATTTGTTATTATGATGATATTAATTTCAGTAGATTTCCAAATTTAAGAAAATGTCGTGTTGATTTAAATAATGAACCATTAAAAGTTAATCAATTATTCCCAAATGCACTCCAGCCATTAAGTTTATTAAGAATTAATCATTGTAAAAATTATAAAAAGTATATGGATTAATTAGATTTAAAAATTTGAGAGGATCATTATTGAAGTTGATGAAACTATTATAGAAGAAGAAATTAAAACTCTAGACCAATTTGCCATTCTTGTAACAAGACACTTTTTTGATGGAATGGATTCTAGAATATTGGCTTTAGATTGTGATTATTGCAATGATTGGGGTAATGAAGAAGGAAATGAAGTTTTTATCTTTAGAGCGCCAAGAGAAATCAACACCTCCAGTGTCATCGTTTCATCTAATCATAATTAAACTGTTGTGAATTTTAAACTATAATAAAAATGTTGTAATAAGATAATTCAATGATTTGGTGTATAGTTTTGAGTTAATTATTTAAAACCATTCAATAGCAGTTAATGATTTTATTGTTGAATAACCATCCGTGTTTGTATTGAGTAACGTTACAAGATCAAGTGTAGATGAATAATTCTCCTTAAATGGTTCTGATGGGATCCATAACTCTCTTGATTTCTTTATTACGAAAAACGAATTTATTACAACAACATCATCACCTGTATTTGGACATACACATAATGAACACATCCAATTTTTTTTTAACGAAAAAGTATTTAATCCGTTTTGTGTTATTATAAAAATAAAATGAGATTGATCAGTAACTATCACTCTATCACTTTGACTTGGTGGAGGAATAGTTGTTGAAGTAAAACTCCCAATCAATGAGTCGTTTTCAGTTTTAATAAATATCATAACGTTTGATTTGTTTACAATTTTGTTATTAAAAGAGTAACTGGTGAAATCATCAGTTTTACTTGAAAATAATAATTGAGTATGTTTTAAGTGAACTTTTTCTTGAAATATTTTAATTAGTTCATCTGAGAAGTCATAACCAATAGTGGTTGATAAAACATTTTTTGTTTGAACATCATTCATTTCTGTTTGAAGGTTATTAATTATGTCTTCAACCTTCATATTTCTTTGTTTTATATATTCTTTTCCTTCTTCTTGTTTTTTTTTCAACTCATTTTCAATATTAGATTTTTTTTGAATAAATATTTGAAATAACTCTTCCCTCATATCCATCTTTTTAGTTTCATTTAATAACTTTTGTAATTCAATTTCCTTTCTTAGTCGTTCGATTTTTGATTTTTCTAGATCAATCTCCTTAAGTAGGAGTTGTCTTTTCATTTTGGTAGTTGTATCCTCCATTATAGAATTCATTTTTATTGAGATTAACATAAAATTTTGAAGAAATAAGAAAAATAACTATAAATTAAAATGATTTTCTACAAGAAAAAACTTAAAAATAAAAAGACACGAATGCAAAAGAAAAAACCTCTAAACAGAGAATATACAAAAGAAGAACTTGAACAAAGACGTCCAAAAAAACCGAAAATTAATATTGATGATTATAAACCATCTGGAAATCTATATAAAGGAATTAAAACAAAAGATGGAAGAAAAATTAATTATATTGAACCAAATGATGCTAAACTTCCAACAGAATCTTGGAGATTTTATTGTTTCAAAGGTGATGAAGAAATAGAACATCCTTTTGTGATGAATGATAGAAGTTTTTATATCTTTGGAACTGACAAAGAAAATGTGGATATTGTGTTACGTCATCCTACAAATGAACCTCAACATGCAGTTGTTCAATTTAGACATCATAACAATGAAGTTCTTCCTTACATAATTGACTTAAATTCTAAAGAGGGAGTATATTTAAATAAGAATAGAATCAAAGAAAATGTTTATATAGAATTAAGAAATGGAGATGTGTTAATGTTTGGTTATTCAACCCGTGAATATGTGTTGTTAAAAGAAAAACCTTTTCATCATTCTCATCATCGTCATTCAAACTAATACTAAACAAAAGATACGACTTTAAAATAATCAATTTTTGTCTTTCTTTGAATTTTTCTTTTTATTATTTTTACTTTCAGAATTTTTTTTTCTAGGTTTCTTTTCTTCAGTCTCATCAAAAACATTATCTAAATCAGCATCTTCATCATCTTCCTCCTCCTCATCTTCTTCACTCTCACTTTCGTGTTCATTTTCTAGTTCTGAGTCTTCAAAAATATCTTCATCTTCTTCAAGAGCATCAGCCTCATTCTCATCATATACTTCTTGGTCATCATCTTCTTCCTCCATTTCAAGTTCTAACTCTTTTTCTTCCTTTTCTCGTTCTTCTAATTCGTTTTGTTCCTCATCAATAAATTCAATAACAACATCTTCTCTTGGTCTTTTTGGTTCTTTCAAAAACTCAGCTAATCCATCTATCATTTCATCTCTTTGTGTATCCTCAAGCTTAAATAATTCTGCTAATGTTTTTATTTCTTCATCATTTCTTTTTAATAATGCAACTTTACATTTTTCTACTTGATCATCATTTTCAAATCCACAAAAACTTAAAATATTATTTAATCGTTCTTTTTGGCTTCCTTGTCGTTGGTACATTAATCTATGAATAAGTACAAGCATTTCATTAGATGTTCCACTAATTGCATCACTTATAATTTTACTTGTACCAAGAACTATTCCTGGACCATGATATCTTTCTATTCCTCCAATTTGACCTGTAGGAAGTCTTTCTGGAGCTTTTCTTTCTGATCTTGTTCTTCTTTTCATCTCAAGATATACTTATTTCAGTTTCGTCCTTCTTTTTCTCTTTTTTTTCCATTATTAAATCGTATTTTCTCGGGATTCATCACTACTATTACTATGGATAGTTCTTTTTTCTTAAAATTATGTTTTTCAGTTTTTTAGTTGAAGGGTTTATTCATTTTTTCTTTTCTAATACCATAAAAATTAAAACAACCAATTTTTATTTTATTTAAAGAATAATACAAAAAATTTGTTTTTGTTAAAAAATTAAATAAGAAGAGAAGAAAAATGCTGAATAATAGGGAATAAATGAATAAAATAACAACAAATGATATTATCATATAATCCAGAAACGAAAAAAAAAAAAAGAAAAAAGAACTTAGTAAATATAAAAGATGAATAGTAGTATTGATTCAACATTCTTCAATGACTATGTTTATTTCACTATTACTCGTGCATATTCTTCAATTAGTAAAGAAGACAGAATTGCTGCAAAAAATATTCAACAAGCAATATTATTAAGAAAGAAATATTTAAATTTTAGTGATGGAAGTGAAGTTTACCCACCTCACTATCACCTTTCCAATCAAGTTAATAATGATCATTATTCTTTATTAAAAATGAGTGATGGAGTATTTCAGATTATTCAAAATAATAAAGCAATTATGTCAATTGTTCAATACAAACAATATTTAATAGATTATAAGACATTATTAAATTTATGCGAAAGTAGTATTGTCAAAAATTTTGCAGAACAACGATTAAATGAATTGTCAAGAAAGTTTAAATTGCATTGTTTATTAAATTCTCGAAAATCTAAAAGTCAAACATCAGTTGAAGATATTCATACAATATCTAAAATTGATACTCATATTCATGCTGCTGCATGTATGACAGAATCACAATTATTAAAATTTCTTAAAGAAAAAAATAAATCAAGTAAATCAGAATTTGTTGGATATTATACAATGGATTCAGGTGAAAAAGAATTAGAAACATTAGAACATATGTGTAAAAGATTAGGAGTTAATTTAGAAGAATTTACATTAAACCAATTAGGAGTACGTGCAGGTATTGAATTTTTTAATAGATTTGATGTATTTAATGCTTCATATAAAATTGCAGGAGAAGATTTATTAAGAACAGTATTTTTAAAATCAGAAAATTATATGCATGGAAAATATTTTGCTGAATTAATTCATAATGTTTTTGATACATTAAATGGTACACCAACACATTTAGAACTTAGATTAAGTATTTATGGAAGGTCATTAGATGAATGGGAAAAATTAGCTGAGTGGATTGATATGTGGGACCTTAGACATCCACAAAATAAATGGATGATTCAATTTCCAAGAATATTCCATGTATGTAAAGGAAATAAAGAAGAATATACATTTGAAACATATATGAATAATTTATTTAAACCATTATTTGATGCATCTTTATATCCAGAGAAATATCCACAATTAGCAGAATTTCTTAGTACAGTATCTGGTTTTGATTCAGTCGATGATGAAAGTGCATTAGAACAAACAGTTGGAAATTTACCAAGTGCGGGTGAATGGAAGAGTAAAGAAAATCCACCATATTTTTATTATATGTATTACACTTATGCAAATATTGCATCATTAAATTATTATAGAAAACAGCGTGGAATGAATACTTTTGATTTTAGACCTCATTGTGGGGAATCAGGTCATATTCATCATTTAGCAGCAGCATATCTTACTGCTAAAGGAATTAATCATGGTATTAGATTAGAAGCATCACCTGCATTACAATATCTTTATTATTTAAGTCAGATTGGATTAGCAGTATCTCCATTAAGTAATCATAATTTGTTTCTTGAATATGAAAAGAGTCCATTTAATGATTTCTTTATGAGAGGGTTAAATGTTTCATTATCATCTGATGATCCATTACAATTTCATAGAACACAAACACCATTAATGGAAGAATATGCTATTGCACAACAAACATGGAATTATGTTACTGGGGATATGGCTGAAATAGCATATAATAGTGTATTACAATCTGGGTTTACAGAAGAAGAGAAAGAATCTATGTTAGGAGAGAATTATCATAACTTTAATGAAAAAAATTCAAATAAAACACGACTAACACTTATCAGAAAGAATTATAGAGATACTTCTTTAAAATTAGAAAGAGATTATATTGAAATTTTAAGTGATGAAAATAAAATGAAAGAGTCACATATTTTTGCTAACATTCCATATTCAATTATTGATGTTGTTTATCCAGAAAATGGAATGGAAGAAGAAATTGATGTTATTAGAAAATTAGAGTTTTGGTTAAATGTCAGAGAGAAATATCTTAGTTATTGTGCTAAATTAAGAACAACAAGAAATAGTTTCTTTCATCCTAATGCACAAACAACAGAAGTAATTGCATTAAATCAAGGAATATTTAATGTATATAATGAAGAAGCTATATGTGAAAATGATCACTATCATCTAGCAGAGATTTATTGTCAAGAATGTGGTAAAAGATTTTGTATTAAATGTTATAAAAAAACACATAAAGGAATTTATCATTCATTACTTCAATTAAATTGTAAACCTACATTTGATATTATTGATGATGAACAATTCTTTTGGGATTATAAAGCATTAAAAAAATTTTGTCAAAGTGGTCCAGCAAGAACGTTTTGCTTTAGACAAATGCATGTCCGATCTGAACTATTTCAATTATACCATTTACTTAATGAAAAAAGTGAAGATATAGAACAAACAGCATTAAAAACAGATTTTGAACAAATTACTAAAGTAGATACTCATGTTCATGCTAATAGATCATTTCATCCAACTGATTTACTTGAAATTATTCAAAAGAAATTAGAAAAAGAACCTACAAGAGTAGTTAGAAAAGAATTAGAATTAAATGGTAAAACGTATTATGATATAACATTACAACAATTATTTGATTTATTAGGAGTTAAACAATTTAATATTCATTCATTAAATGTTCAATCAGATCCATCACTTGTTTCTAGATTTGATTTATGGTTAAATAAATATTACCCATTTGGTCAATTAAAATTAAAAGAATTATTCCTTACAATTAATAATGATATCCATGGAGAATATTTATGTGAGTTATTAAAAAGTACTGTATTTGAACGATTAAAAGTATTAGAAACTATTAAAACTGAATATCGATTTAATTGTAGTGGAATGGAATTAAATGAAATGGAAGAGTGGGCTAATCAAATCGTTAAATCGGGGTTAATAGAACCTAATAATAATTCTTATATTATTTGTATTCCACGTATTTATTCTAGATGGAAAGAAGAAGGTTATATTAATAATTTCTCCGAATTTCTTAGAAATATATTTAAACCTTGTTTTGAAGCAACACTACATCCAGAACAACATCCTAATCTTGCTAAATTTTTATCTAATTGTGGTGCATTTGATTGTGCAAGTGAAGAACTTTTACATGAAGAAGAAATTGAACCAAGAAATATTATAAGACCAGATGAATGGGATATGAATGAAAATCCTCCTTATGAATATTATTTGTATTATTTATATGCTAATATAACTGTTCTTAATGGATTTAGAAAAGAAAAAAAGTTAAATACGTTTGATTTTAGACCTCATTGTGGACAGGCAGGTGATAGAATGCATGGAGCAGCTGCATTCCTAACTGCAAATTCTATTACTCATGGAGTTATGATTGATGGACAAAATACACTGCAATATCTTTATATTTTAGCTCAAATAGGAATATCATCTTCTCCAATTCAACAAGCAGCATTATATGGAGGAGTAGTTGATCCATTTAGAAAAATGTTTGAACGAGGAATGAGGATATGTTTAAGTACAGATACACCGTTACATACTCATATTACAAAAGAACCTTTAACTGAAGAATATTCATCTGCAATGAAAAATTTCCAATTAACACAAACTGATTTGGCTGAGATTGCCCGAAATTCTGTTATTATTTCATCATTTCCTCAAGAATATAAGGAAAAATGGATCGGGAAGGATTATAAATTACCTGGAATTGCTGGAAATGATTCAAGCAAAACAAGTATTCCTGATATGAGACTTGAATTTAGACAAAGAATCATCGACAACGAAATTCGTACATTTGAGAAATGGTTAAAAAATTCAAATAACATTATAAGGGAAAAAGCTGATTTTAATTAAATACGTTAAGCAGTTTTGTTTATAAATAAAAGTGGTTTGGTATTTAATGCATTGACTTAAATATTTTTTTGAGTGTCAACAAAGTGAATTAAAATCATTTCTAATTTAAACCGATTAAATTCTAATTAATTCTTATGATGATGTTATTAAAGATATGATAGATAAAATCGATTCTATTTTTATTTTTTACTTATTTTATCAATTTCTAATAATTCAAGTCATATATAAATATCAAACAATAACAAAATAAGTATTGGTCATATAGAATAATAGGTATTGAAAAGTAGAACTGAGTAGAGAACAAGTGTGTAAGACAATAGTAATATTCAATATATGATATTTTTTTTGAAGAATAAGTACTTTTATCTATATATATATTCATTTAATTGTTAATTAATCATTATTTCATAGTATCTATGAATATTGAGAAAAACAAAATAACAGAATAATTTTTTTTTTAAACATAAACAAGTTTGTAATAATAAATCAACAACAAATTCATGAGAATAAAAAACTGTAAATTAAAGAAATTGTTCATAAATAATTTCTTCCGTTGTATAATAATAAAAGGATAACTTAATTTTATTTTGATGTTTCGTTTATAAGTTATGTGACTTCTATAATTAGTTATTAGCATCATGTTGCACCAATATTGAAATTTGATATATATTTGAAAGAGTTACTTTTGTTAGAAGATTTAATAAACAAAGAAATTTATGTATTTTTTTAGTCTTTGTTTATTTATTCTTTTTATACTTAATCCTTTTGGTTTTCTTTACTTCTTACTTCTTTTTCTTGATTTCTTAATCTTTAGTCATATGTTTTTTATTTTCAAAAAGGATTTCTTTCTTCCTTTATTCTTAATTTCTCTATTCTTGCCTTCTTGTTTCTTCAACTCATCCATTCTTTGATTTATTTCTTATGTTCAATTCTTTTTCAATCCTTGTTTCTTCAAGTATCTTTTATTTTTAAAATGTTCTTCATTTTCATTGATTATTCTCATAACAGTATTGATTAAACATTCCTTGAATTATAGTCGTTATATTTATGATATTAGTTTCTCTTTACTAGAGCTCGTTTTTTGGACATTCATTAATGATAATTATGAAAGAATTATTACGTATGATTGTAAACATTAATCTTGATTATTTATTCTAAAGCTCCTTCTTGATTTATTGTAGTTATACAATAATAATATTCTTTTTCCTGAAGAATTAAAATTTTGAAACAACTGATGAATAAAATAAACAACAATTCATAAAATAATATGGTAAATATTGTTTAGAATAAAACTCCAGAAGAAGGGTATGTGTATTTAATCAGAAAGAATAATATGAAGAGATTCCATTAATTAGTGATTAGTTGTTTATTTTTAAACTAATTTAATTACTTTGTTTCCATTAGTTCTCTTGTAGAATTAACTTATTTTAAATAAATATTCTTCTTATTTTTTGAATTACATTAGAGAGCTGAATTGATAGTTCATTAATATTAATGATAAATTCTTGATTTATTATTAAAAATTTGGTGATTCTTTTGACTCTAATTCAAATAACATTATAAATTCGATTTTTTTCTGAAATAGGATAAGTCTTTAAAATTAAATCAATAGATTAAGCGAAAATGTCAAATAGAATTGACAATAATAATACTTCATCATTATTCGAAGTTTATTTGTAGTTCAAAAAAAGAAAAATCAAACAAAAGAGGGTATTCATTATCTTTTATCTATACCAAATATATGCATAAGATATTGAAGGTCATACTTTCTCCAATTGTTAATTTTTTTCCAAAAGGATTTCCAACAAGAAAATTAATTCCATTATTATTATTACAAATTTGTGAAGCATTTACCAAAAACTCTATTGCAGCATATGCTGGATTTATGGTAACGGATTTTGGAGTAGTAGATAGTCCAAACCAAGCTGGATATTATAGTGGATTATTAAATGCATGTTATTTCTTTTCACAATTTCTTTCTTCATTCTTCTTAGGAGTTTTATCAGATAATATAGGAAGAAGACCAATTTTATTGATTGGGTCTATTGGATCCATTATTTCAACTACTCTTTTTGGATTTTCTTTTAACTATTGGTGGGCTATTATTTCTCGTTCCATTAATGGGTTAGTTAATGGTAATATTGGTGTAATTAAAACTTTTATGGGAGAGTTTTCTACAAAAGAAAATAGAGCACAAGTGTTTGGTCTTCTTGGATTAACGGGTGGTTTTGGTATGATTATTGGAGCAAGTATTGGAGGATATCTTGCTCGTCCAACAAAACAATATCCATCAATATTTGGAGGAATGAAATTCTTCGAAACATTTCCCTTTATATTACCAAATTTAGTGTGTTCTTCAATTACAACGGTTGGTGTTATTCTTAGTTATTTCTATTTGGAAGAAACAAAACCAAGAGAACGTACTAACGAACAATGGTATCTTGAACTTTTGAACATTTTTAAGAAAGTTATAGAAAGAACCATTAAGATAGTTAAAATGTTATTTTCTAAAGAATTTGTTGGGATTTTATGTTGTTTTAGTTATTCTATCATTGCTGTTGGTGCCTCAATGATGTTGAACGTTATTCCTTTATTGATGATGGGGTCTATTAGTGTAGGTGGTTTTGGATGGGAAACAAGTCAAATAGGAACATTCAATATGATTTCTGCAATAGGAATTATTTGTACACAATTATTTATTTATCGACCAACAGTAAAATTTTTTGGACCATTATGGACAAATAGAATTGGTTCAATAGGTAACTTTATTTTATACAATATACCTCCTTGTATTTATTATTTATATCCTTACGGTAATGTAGCACTATGGATAGGGCTTAGTGTTTATAGTTTTATGGTGAATATAACAACTCAATTTTGTTTTGCTTCAGTAATGGCTATGATTGCTAATAGTGTAACAAGTGATTTATTAGGTACACTGAATGGGCTGAGTCAAAGTTTAGTGGCATTGTTTAGGTTATTTGCACCCTTAATTTCATCTCCTTTGATAGCTTGGTCATTTACTCAAAAATTCCCTTTCAATGCTCATTTTACTTTCTTTGTCATGGCTGTTGTTCCTTTAATCAATTTCTTGTTATTGTTATTGATTCCCAAGTCAATTAACTATCCAAAAGAAGAAGTTCAATACACTAAAATTATTGAACTTGACAATATAGAAGACAAAAATGATATACAACAGAAAGATGAAACTACACAACAAGACGTTAATCCAACAAACCAAACTAACACTACTAAAGCTGACTCTTCTGAAGAACAAGTTAACGCCATTATTATTGATGAAGGTGAAA